TATATGAAGTACCTGTTCGTCGGATGACCCCAGCCCGGCCACTTTGTGGTCGAGGAAATGAGCTCCCCAACCCATGAAGGATGCATTGACGAATAGGTGATGAGTCGGTGCAAAGGGCATCATAGAGACTCCGGCGCAAACATTCCGTTCGTCGAGCCACCATTGAAGGACTGGACGAAGCGGTTCTGGAAGGCAAATTAGTTCCTTGGGGTTGTCGGCCTGAAGGTAAGGGCGCAGAAATCGCTGTATCGGCCGAAGTTGGAGCTGGCCTCTGTACGTTAAGGCTTGAGATGACGTCAGAAGGCCCAGTAGCTCCTGCCATTGTCATAAGGTTCTCGCCTGAGACAGTGCTGGAGGAATGCATTGCTGAATCTGTATCCACCTGTCGTGAGGTAAGAACATCATCCCCTGACGAGAGTCGAACAGTGCTCCGATGAATTGGTGTTTCTGAGTCAGTATTAGTTCCGATTTCGCGATGTTCAACAGCAACCCTAACTGTCTGAGCAGCGTGGTGGTGAACTGTAGCTGGCGATGCAATACGATCGGATGCTGTTGAGCCTGGATGCAATCGTCTATGTAGCTTTCCAATGTGATCCCTTGAAAGTGGAGGAATCTCGTTATGGGCTTGGTAATTCAGGTAAAAAGCCACGGGGCTGTGGAAATTCCAAATGGTAGAACTTTCCATTGGTAGTGTTTCCCGTTGAACACGAAGCGAAGGTACTTCTGGTGTTCTGGATGTATCGGTCCCTTCTTCAGGATGGTGCATAAAAGGTTGATCGACACCATCCTGAAGTGAGGCGGTGGAAGCAGGAATCGGGCATTGAACAACTTCATATTGAAGATGAGCCGGAGGTTGTTGGAAATTTTCCTTGGAACCAAGAAGATGAGGGAGTAGAATCTTGGAGTGACAGGCGATGGACCTAGGAGCTCTATTGCGAGTTTGTCTAATAGCGTACCTATTGTGGATTGCAGAGTCTGAAGCTGGTCCACAGGATATAAGCGATGAGTCGGATGCGACGTCAGAGGTGGACTGACAATAACGAGTAGCTGATAGCCATGAAGTAGCAGGTTGGTGACGTACGGATCTTTGAGGATGGTCCAATTCAGGTCGAAGATCTGCAGTGTCCCGCCTACCGGAGTGTTGTAAATCGGAACGACTGGGGGCGGTAGGTCACAGTCGTGCAATTGTCTCAAGCCGTCACTGCTTCCCGGCGCTGGTCTCTGGGCCAGAGGAACCACCACGGCCAGATCTGTTTCCTCTGCCACGGCCTTGAGTGGATGTGCCACGAAAAAGATTGCGTAAATCCGGATTAGTAGGGATGAACTGTGCAGTTCGACGCTGTTTTAATGAGTCCTGGAGCTGTGACTTCTGTATCTTTAACAGTTCAATCGAGACTTGAAAGTGTGTTTCTTTATCAACTTTATTAGATACTTCTCGGATGCTACCATTGAAGAGGGGAGTCAGTAAACCAAGGCTGGCGAAACAGTTCTGTTTTAAATCGCTCCTCCCATGAAGATATGTTAAGGGGTCCACGTTGGCGAACAGCAAGAGTGTAGCCCCCCAAAAAGAGACAACTGATCCAGGATAATTTGGAACTGGTCCAGAGCTAAAGTCATGCATCCTCGGATGTAAGCGTCTTGATCAGAGTAAGTATGCTCCAGATCAGTGTTAACAGCGTCGACTGCTGCAATCATGCAACTAATAGATGGCAACGTCTTTCTCATGGCTGAATCCATGTGAGCCAAATATCGGTCCTCAATAAGGTAAGGCGAAGCAGCTCGTTTGCCACACAGGGTTCCAATATCCTCATCAACTGTTGGAGCCGTAGAGATGTTTCTTAGGCCGTGGACATGAGAGGTAGAAGGATTATATATGGGAGCAGGGAATCCGTCCTTAATTCGTTTCCGGCTCTTGAAACCATCATTTAGTGTACTGGATAATTTCAGAATACAAGGTCGAGGTGGTAGGGTGATAGAGGCCAATCCCGGTTCCTAAGAGTATAAGAGTGACCCAGGTCATCTGCTGAAGTACTCAAGGGAAGTTGGAGCTTCTCAACAATCTAAAGGAGTACCTAAGGTGCCTCAACTGCTGCAAAGCTACCCCCAGGGATAGATAACTCAGAGTGAGCGGGAGATGCAGGCATGGCTATTTGGACTGGATCAACCTCAGGAGGTGGACCAGATGAAGAGCCAGGGGCTTTCAAAGCCGGATGGGCTTGAGTAGAAGGCTGTATTTGGTTCCAAGCTGAGGTTATGGCCCTGATCATCATATTTAGATCCGGAGTCGCTGTAGGAGTGGGATTGTTATCAGGTTCCCATGACTCAACAATGATCCTAGAGTGTGTCGAAGGATTCTCAGAGCGTGTAGACGGAACATCATAAGAGACTGTAGGCCTATTAGTGGTATCAGAGCAATGATCACCCGAACGTCGGTCCAAGGAACTGTATCGAGATCTCGATGTGGTAAGTACCGAAGTAGGTTGGTAAGCCGGTGATCTGGATTCCCTAGTATGGCTAGGTGATCCGGTATGATATGAAGACTAGTCCGGGTCGCTGTAGTTCTAGTTGGTGATCTGGTTCTGATTGGAGCTCCGGTTCGACCATCTGAATAGAATCGGCCTTGAGATGTGGATCTGTACTGTGATCCCGATTGGTCAATGGCTCTGTAAGGTGATCTAGATGGTATAGGTGACCTGGATTGGTAAGATGATCTGGATTTGTAAAGTGATCTAGATCGATTCGATGCACTAACTGGAACTGTGATCGTGATCTGGATCTATAAGGTGATCTGGATCGAACAGGTGATCTGGTTTACAGTTGCGATCTTGCTTGATTTGGTGATCTGGATCGGTTAGGTGATCTACTTTGATGGTGTGATCTGGATCGGTTCGGTGATCTGGATCGGTCTGGCGATATACTTCGATGTTGTGATCTGGATCGGTTAGGTGACCTAGATCGGTCCGGTGATCTGATTCGAGGTTGTGATCTGGATCCATTCGGTGATCTGGATCGGTCCGGTGATCTGATTCGAAGTTGTGATCTGGATCCATTCGGTCATCTGGATCGATTAGGTGATCTGGATCGGTCCGATGATCTACTTCGATGTTGTGATCTGGATCGGTTCGGTGATCTGGATCGGTTAGGTGATCTGGATTGATGAGGTGATGTGGATCGTAGTTGTGCTCTGGATCGTGACTGTGATCTGGATCGATCCGGTGATCTTGATCGGCACGGTGATCTAGATTGAGCTTGTGATGGTGATCTGGATCGTGAAGGTGATCTAGATCGTTGTGGTGATCTAGAATGATGTGGCGATCTGGATCGGCGATTAGGTGACGAAACCTGAAGTGTTGATTCATGATAAAAGTCCCCCGGCGAAGCTGTTGTAGCCAGCTCCGTCCGGTTCCATGAACTGTGGGGAGACAGTTGGCTGGTTGAACGCGATTGGCCAGGCTCCGAACAAACTGAGACAGTCGAGGGGGATATGTACCGATGATCTGGATGATGATAGTGTCGATCTAAGGTCCCCTGGTAGTGTAGATGCGACAGGCAACGAAGAATTATCGATCACAACCACCCGCGAGTGATCTGACGCTATGGAAGGAGGTGATTGATGCGTACGTAATAGGTGCCGAACGTCCTCAGATAAGTAAGAATCTGATGAAGCGTCCATACAATCCTCTTGAACCACAGACGTCGCTCTCTTGCGTGAAGGTACGATTTTCTGTCGCTGTAACTTGATACGTTGGAGTGGGATCAGATTCTGTTGATTTCCTGTCCCTAACAGCGATTCTCCGGGAGCAAACACGAAAGGTAGGCCTTAAAATCCTCATCTTTTAGTGAATTACACTTGCCACATCGTTTGTTCCAGTTATATTGTCCAATACAGTCACTGCAGACGAGTGAGGGTCGAGGGACGAATAATTCGTCTTGCATTGAGCGCAAAATTTCCTTTTCCTTGACTGATTATCTGTTTTCCCCATGATGTTAGGGTGTCCACACAGTCGTGCGACAAGAAAGAGAATGATCATTCAAAGTAGTCACGTGGGCAATTAGTGGAGCATGCTGCAAGCTTTATTAGGAACTAGGAAGCTAATTAAGGAGAGCAACATGGAGTGCACGGGTGAATGGACAAGGAAGCCTATGGGAAAAAGTTTACAGTCGTTCCACTAAAAGTCGAAGCAAGAGAGAGGTGAGGTGAGGTGAAATTGGGTTTAATGTCGTGCTTGAGAATATTTCGCTCATATGACGACGTGCATGCGTGTGTATGTGTATGTGCGGCTGCTTATACTAGCCCAGACTGAAGCTGGTTTTATAGTGTTAGGCCACTGAGATACCATGGCGCAGTGAAGCATGAATACTAGTGTTGGGAATTGGTTAAAATCTCATAATTGATGATTGTTTCATTACTACCGATCAATTATCGAAAATAATTGGTTAGCATCATTTATAAAATTTGTTAATGCACATAAAAATAAGGTTAAAAACAAATAGTTCATTTGGTTTTTTTGGCAAAATTTCACATCTTTAAAGGATGACTAATATGTTAGGAACATAAATTTCTTGGAGCTTGTAGTGCTTACGAAATGTAACAGACAAAACCAACCTTGTGAAAAATATTGTTAATGAAAACAAGTGTTCCAGAATTGTTTGTGTTCGATGATGAGAAATTGTGATCGATTGCTTGGTCGTTTAGTCACTACGACCAATCTTCGATTATTTCAATTAATCGAACCACCACTAATGAATACCCCACTCAGACACATTATACTGACTCCAAGCCGACCAGTCCTTGTTGTACCCATTAATGCCGAGCGCCAGGCAGGGACCCACAAGTACCATATTTTAATGTATTTTGGTATGACGCGGTCGGGGATCGAACCCGCCACCTTCCGCTCTCCGGGCGGACGCTCTAACCACTACACCACGGAGGCGGTCGGAAAGAGAGAGAAGGCAAGTCGTGAGATAGGATAAGTTTAAAATTTACATTTTCACTTGGCATATCAATTTTATTCCGTAATGTTGTTACAAATCTATTTTGTTATTAGAGAAAGGTGTATATTAGAGAAAATATATTACAATATTCACAACAAAATGAAATACTAGTAAACAATTAGAAAAAGGGATTTTCCGATAACGAACATGAATACATGCAACCATCCTGTTCTTGTGATACATAAAAGGAAATGAAACGGAGTGAGATGTTGAATATCATGGAGGGATACATGGAATGTCTGGAGTGGTACATGATCACTCAATATAAAAGTCTGCATAAACCATTTCGACTACATCATAAGGATGTTATATAAATCACAAACACTGACGCTGCCAGTTGTTGCCGGAACCATGGCCGAAACCAGTCCCACTGGTAAAACCCGTTACAACACACGCAAAGTCAAGTCAATTATCCACACAAGAAAAACATGGTAGAAGTCAACATAACTGCATGAAAATAGTCCTGAGGTGTTTTGATCAACAACTGCATGACGCTCTTTGAAATCTTGAAATTTCATCCTAAAAAGTAACTTTGTCGTGTTTTGAGTGCTGGTCAAAACGCTCGGATCCCCTCCCGCCATCTGACGACGACCTGTACAGTCTTTGATTAATATTAGGAGCATCAATTCATCCTTAAGGGTTCGATGTCTAGAATTTCTCATGTCAATGAACATTAACCGGGCCTGACCACCCAAACGTTTTTACCCCAGGCATATATGTTTGTGACCATTCTCACCAGTGTGACCATGGTGGTTGGTTGGTTGGTTGGTTGGTTGGTTGTGATTAACGCCACACTATTCCAGCTAATGACGGCGGTCTGTAAATAATCGAGTCTGGACCAGTGATCAACAGCATGAGCATCGATCTACGAATTTAGGATACGATGATATGTGTCAACCAAGTCAGAGAGCCTGACCACCCGATCCCGTTAGTCGCCTCTTACGACAAGCATGGGTTATGAGGACCAATGAAAGGCATCATCTAATGTAAGTAACTTTTAGATGTGCACTCGACAAAACAATTGTTATGGTATGGAACGTAATCACACATTATACCTGATTTACAGGTATTACGTTATAAAACTTTCAGCGATACAACATATTCATAAAACTGACAAAAATAATATAATCATTACGAAATTGCGGCCTGCCATCAAATGAATATTGATATATGCTCTAGGAAGATATATGCCGCGACCAAGATATACACGCCTGGTGTAATACATATATATCATACATCAAAACTGAAGCCAGTTTCCATTGTCTTTTACACAAGGAAAAAATCTGATAAAGGTTCCTTGTTGAAGGTTCGTACTGGCCAATCGACGGTAGTTAAATCCAGGTGATCATATCGTCAAAACATTGCACTTCTCCGACACTTCACTACTGAATTTGTTGGTCTGGAAAAGTTGAAATGTTCGTTTCGATGGATAACATATCACTGTCACGGTACCATGTGATGTTTCTTTCGTATCTGGTTTTGTTATAGATATAGTGTCTGGGAACTTGTGGATCGCTTACTATAGCAAATGTGTGAATCCTTTGGTTTACACACAGCTGTAGATTCTGTTGCAGAAACTCTTGAAGTTCATCGTCGTAGCAAAGGCTGATGCTACGCTGATGTCGTGGAGTCATTATTCAAGACTGATGGATGCCAAGAGTTCATCCTTTATAAGTTGTTGGGGTTCTTCTGGTAGGATACTAAGTAGTTCCCCGATCTAGACTTATCTCCCTTGTCTTCGTCTTTTCGCCATGTGGATGAGATTTCTTCAATTGTTCTGCCTTTCGTTTCTGGTAGGAACATGAATACGAATATCCAGAAAAGTATTATCAAAACTGTGAAGGGCACGAAGGAATAGCTCATCAGTCCTTTCTGGAAAGACAAAAAGAAAAGAAAACATCTTAGAAAATGTCGCTCAAGGAAAATGCTGCTGACAGGTACAACCTGTGGGGCATAATACGGTCACCTGGTATCACTACTATTTGATAGGGCCTGGAGTGAGTGAGTGAGCTTGGTTTTACGCCGCCTTTAGCAATATTCCAGCAATATCACGGCGGGGGACACCATTGTACCCATGTGGGGAATCACTAGGCTACCCCGCCGCCCCAATAGGGCCTGGAAAAACACATGCATGCTCGTCATACTGATTTTCGTAAAACTCACACACTCACTCTTGTAAATATGGAAGGGGTCTTGTTAAATATAGGTTGCTGGTGACCTCTTGGTTGGTTGATTTGGTTGTTGTTTAATGCCGCAATCAGTAATATTCAAGCTACATGATGGCGATCTGTACATAACTGAGTCTGGACCCGACAATCCAGTGATCAACATCATGAGCATCGATCTACACAACTGGGATACGATGACATGTGTCAACCAAATCAGCGAGCCTGACCACCCGATCCCGTTAGTCGCCTCTTACGACAAGCTTCGGTTACTGAAGACCAATTCTAACCAGGATCTTCGCTGCTGGGGACCTCTATTCCTTCCTTAGGGGTCTAATCGTGAGACTGAAGCAATAGAGGTGACTTTCAATATTTTACCTGCATTTGGGGGAAGGCATACCCAACACAAAAGTTGGCCACCCAGTTGACGAGGACAGACACGCTGATGGCGGATGATCTTGGTCCCTGAGAGAACAACTCTGCTACTATCAACCAGGGTATGGAACCTTGAAAGAAGAGAATTATAAAAAATTTTTTTTAAAATGACCTGAAGCACTTTTAAGCTAAAGCACATTTTTGATCTTACAATCAAACTTACTATTTTAAGCATGGTAAAAAGGTATGGCGGCATAACTTTCATTTTACAGAGGTACAGAGTACCAGTTGTCCAAGGCGTTGCAATGAGTGAGTCGCTGAGTGAGTGTATTTTCACGCCGCTTTCAGCAATATTCCAGCAATATCACGGCGGGGCACGCCAGAAATGGGATATCGAACCAAGGATATATAAGTTATCGCTTTAACCACGAGGCTACCCCATCGCTCTAATTGTCTAAGAAATGCATCCATTCGGGCTTTCACTTTGTTAAATAACTGAAATATTGTAGAACCACACACACCTAGCCCTAAGGCGAAGAAGACGACGAACAGGAGAGACACAGCGATGCTTGCCACTTTAAACCACTCTACCCGGTCCTAAAATATATCGAAAGCGTTGCCGGTCATATTTAAAAAGAACACGATGTTCATGTTTATGTTTGATGTGGTAGAAGTGTCGCTAAAACAGAAGTGTTTTACGCTCATTATTTCTGAAATTTCTAATACGTAAAAACACTGTTCATGTTTGATGTGGTACAGATTTAGAATAGAAATGCATTTGCTCAAACATTTCTGGGAGTCAATTGTCAGGCGATGGTCATGGTTTAGATTCCAGGTCTTCGAAAAGTTGACAGTATAGATGTGTGATGCGTTTTGGACTCTCATTTATTAAAATATTTTGTCTTTTTGGGACTTTTGACTTGCTGTTTGCTGTTGCCTTCTCAGCAATTATCCAGCTATAGCTACAGACGGCGGTTTGTAAACAATCGTGTCTGGACCAGACTATCCAGTGATTGACATCATGAGCAACGATCCAGCAAATGGGATAGATTACGTGCAACAACCAGGTCAGCAAGCCTGGCATCCGATCCCTTCATCGACAAACATGAGTTCCTGAAACCAATTCTCACCCGGATCTTCACGGGTTTTATAAATGTGAAAGTAATTGTCGTAACATGCATCTTATATTTTTTTACAAAAGGAACCTTATGCTCACAAATTAAAATTTGTTTACTCTTGTAATCGTAACTATTCAAAATTGTTTACTTTCTATATAGTTAAAGTTCAACTTACCAAAAGCGAGAGGCACACTGTAATCAATATGCTAGACACGGCCATTCCGCCTAGACCAATCAGATGTAGAGTTCGTCGACCAACCCGGTCCATGAGTGGAATTGTCACTAGTGTCATGACAACCATAACCGCTCCCACCCCGCTCGTGGCGTGTGTGGCGGTGGATTCATCGAGCCCCGCCCTTTGTAGAGATTCCCGGAATAGTAGAAGATCTGTAACGAAAATCTGATGTCTGAGGAGTAAGCTTAGCTTTACGCCTCTTTTAACACACGACAAAAGTGAAGGATCACTTCCTTAGTGGAGGTACCATTACACGCAACACAACTGAAGGATGAATTTCTTAGCAGAGGTACCACTGCACACAGCACAACTGAAGGATGACTTCCTTAGTAGAGGTACCACTGCACACAGCACAAGTGAAGGATGACTTCCTCAGCAGAGGTACCACTGCACACAGCACAACTGAAGGATGACTTCCTTAGTAGAGGTACCACTGCACACAGCACAAGTGAAGGATGACTTCCTTAGTGCACACAGCACAAGTGAAGGATGACTCTTAGCAGAGGTACCTCTGCACACAGCAGAAGTGAAGGATGAATTCCTTAGCCGGAGGTACCACTGCACGCGACACAAGTGAAGGGTGAATTCCTTAGCAGAGGTACCACTGCACACAACACAGCTGGAGGATGATTAACTTAGCAGAGTAACTACACAACACTTCAAGTCTTGTTTACCGACAAGGATTGAGGATATACATCATATTATTATTTCACGATTATGAGATATTTCTGTCTCATTTTATTGTGAATCTAAATTAAAGCCCTTTAATGATATTGACCCGTGAAGATCCGGGTTAGAATTGATCTTCAGTAACCCATGGTTGCTGTAAGAGGCAACTAAAGGGATCGGGTGGTCTGATTCGCTGACATGGTTGACACGTGTCAACTGTGTAGATCGACGTTCATGCTGTTGATCACTGGATTGCGTGGTCCAGACTCGAGTATTTACAGACCACCGCCATATTGCTGGAATACTGCTGAGTGCGGCGTTAAACAACAAGCCAACCAAGCAACTGTGAAGTTCACCTCAATTTGAGGGTAGTTTGACCATGGTCAATTCAGTCGTTCTGATGAAACGTCCTTGTGTGACAGCAAGAAGTAGTCAATGTGAATGATCCAAACGGTCTATCACTGTGCAGTGCACAGGTAACTATCATGAACTGCACGTGCATTGACCTTTATGACCCAACACTGCCGCTGTTACAGGTCATTGGCTCCCTCCCTCTGCAAGCATTCTGCGTTCTGCTGTTTATTTTGTTGACAGTTACATAGACAGATTCTTTAATACAAATGCATAAAATTGGTGATTTACAATGTGATTAGGTTGTCTGACAAAACATCCATTTGCACAGTTTGAGATCGATTGGGTCATTGGATGAAGAGATATTTACGAAAAACCGGGTCCACATGCATTTCGTGCCAAACTATAGTTCCGGGTACAGCAACGTGCAGTAAACTTGGACAAAGTACTCTGACTATGTGTCCCAGTCCACCCAGCTGTGAGTGTTTGCACTATTCATGTTGCCACCATCTGGTCATTTACAAACAGATTTGTGGGTTCTTTTAAGTGCACCTGTTCAGAATCTCCAGTAATTGACGCAGGCACTACATGCAAGAATGGCAGAGAATTCGACGCGTGATTGTATCAGACGCAGACTGGCTTATGTTATGGAAGGGTAGCTACACCAGGTTCTGCAAACCGAAACATGAGTCTCATAAACCAATTGAGAGAATGACCTACTTTTCAGCCTTGCCGAATTTTCTCGTGTGAAAGTAAAAAGAGACACTGCTAACAACTATGGTATTTACAAATGAAGTTTAATTTTAAACTTTAAAAAAATCGTATTGATTGATAGAATGTCAAGGCCGTACAAGATCGCCAAACGTTTCTAGCGGCCGAGCCTCGTTTTGAGATTTCCACGATTTCCAGATTTCCGTTTGTCAGAGCACGCTGTACGACAGAGCACGCTGCACGAAGTGTTTGCAAGGATTAGAAGTAGCGTAGTGTTGCAATATACAAGTGATTAGATGTATCAAATAATACTGATTACTATTTATATACCCAGTTAAATGAGTTGGTCTAATACATTCTGGACTTGTAATTGTACTAAGTGGCACCATAGGACGGAACCCAGTCAGCTGGAAACGAGACTGATGTGTAATCAATGTTTTGATGTGTATCATGGCTGCCAGTGGTGGTTCATACAATCACAACAATTATAATTAGAGAACTGTGTGACAGATGAGATTGTTGGCGTAGTCATGACAACCATACTTTCCGGCATTGTCAATTTTGACGTTTTTTGTGTATACTCTTCAGATTGTTGCCAAATTTCAGTTTCAATTTCGTTTTCGTTTTGAAATATATTATACGGTTACGATCTTATACGGTTACGATCTTAATAGATGGAATTTTGTTTTCAAAGCGTACAGTACAACATGTAGGGTTTTCGTACTAATCATTAAAAGAAAATGGTGAGTGAGTGAGTGAGTATGGGTTTACGCCGCTTTTAGCAATATTCCAACAATATCACGGCGGGGACACCAGCAATCGGCTCCACATTGTGCCCATGTGGGGATTCGAATCAGGGCCTTCAGTGTGAATGCCTGTATTCATTAGGCTACCCCACTGCCCCACCCACACTTAGTACAGCTGGTACCCACTCGAGATAAATTTGCGATGTAAAATGTTAACTCATTCATTCATTCGAGATAAAATGTTCTCCCTTCATGGTGATATGTTGACAGATATAACACAGATATAGGACATGGCTATCGCAATATCCCAGCAATATCACGATGGGCGATAGCAGAAATGGGTTTCACACATTGCACCCATGTGGGAACCGAACTCGGGTCTTCAGCGTGACGAGCGGACGCTTTAACAACTAGGCTATACCCCTATAACGTCCCTATAGAAGATGGGTGGTGCTTGATTAATGTTTATGTGTATAATGAAGGTCCGCACTTAATCTTGATTGACATGTAAGACAGTGTTATGTTGGTGTCAATTGTTTAGACTGTCTGTTGAGTATTTGGTGACTTCTTTTGTGTGTTCTCGAACTCTTACGACAATCACACCACGACTGCTTGTTAAACATTACATAACTTCCATTGTGTGTTCGACGACAATCACCCCACCATCAACGCAGCCTTGATGCAATGGTATAATGATAGGGCCTGTAAGTCTCGCGAGGCGATACTTCCGGTGCTAAACTGATTCCCGGCTCCTTTGCGCGCGCCAACTTGCGATGTGCGAGACGGGGCCCAGCTTACTTCCGGTCTCAGATTTCCAGTGACAAGACTATATTCAACAACCAGTTCTGGTTCCAAATTACGCGACCACCAAACATGACTTTACTAGACCGGACCAAGTTTACGTTGTTTGTCCCTGGTCTCGTGAAGTGCAGTTACCTATCTACGGGGCCAATTAATCACAGAGTGTATGAATGTCTTCTGCACACTGTAGTCACTTACGTGAGTGAGTGAGTTTAGTTTTACGTCGCAATCAGCAATATTCCAGCTATATGGCTACGGTCTGTAAATAATAGAGTCTGGACCAGACAATCCAGTGATCAACAGTATAAGCATCGATCTACACAATTGGGATACGATGACATGTGTCAACCATGTCAGCGAGCCTGACTACCCGCTTCAGTTAGTTGCCTCTTACGACAAGCAAGGGTTGCTGAACAACAATTCTAGTCCTGATCTTCATCACTGCGGAAGAATAATGGTATGGAAGCTTCAGTATTTTTCTTCACCGACATTTCTCTTTATTTGAATAATTTATGTATTTTTCGAAATTTCGATTTTTTCTCAGTGTTCGGAATAACTTCCCCTTATGTGAATAATTTTCTCGAAAAGAAGGGTAGTAAAATAAACAAAAAGAAACGCAAAATATGAAAAAATGAAAAAACTATAATCAATGTATTATCAACGTAATCGAAGTAATATTGAAATAATCCAAGTAATAACAAACAAACTAGGAAAAACGGTAAATAAATGAACAAACGAGAAAATAATCGAAGCAACGAGAAACAATTTCGAGCTTTAGAGTAAAATTGAATTAACGAGAATAAAATCGAAATTGTGAAAACACATTCAAAGTTTCGTTGGACCTGGCAATTCAGTGATTGACATCAAGATCTTGGATTTATGCCACTTAGACACTATGGCATCATTCACCAAATCAGCGAGCATAGCCAGCCGATGCCTTTGAGTAGTGAGTAAGTGAGTTTGGTTCTAGCAATATTCAAGTAAAATCATGACTGGGGATATCAGATATGGGCTCCACACCTTGTACCCATGTGGGGAATCGAACCCGGTTCTTCGGCGTGACGAACGAACGCTTTAACCACTAGGCTACCCCACCGACTTTCATGATAAAGGAAGTCATAAAAACCCAGAAATCGAACTCTGTTAGTGCAGAATTCCATACACTTACGAGGCGGGGAGAAGTGATAGGTCATCATCCCAATTACAAATACCTCATTAGTGAAACTTTCCCAATGTTAACAGGAACTAATGACATATGTATTCCTCGACATGTTCTTGTTATGCACGCTGCTGTCACAAAAGGGCGAAGATCACGCGGATTACGTCAGCCCTACGTCCACATTCAGTCATTAGGATCATTATTGCAAAATATGAATTGTAACTTGTATATTGGCCTCTGGCCTATTCAGAAATAAAAATTCAATTCATTATTTACCGAGCAGGGTTGCAACTATTTGCCAATGGAACTGCGTTAATGGGTTCATAAAGAAGCACGAAGCTTAATGGACAATGACTTCTAGGCTCTTCCATAGAGCGAAATTTGGACGTAGATTTTTATACCTTTATTAAGCTAAAGTGGTCTGAACCAAGTAAAGAGAGTTAGACATCTTAGTATGTTATGACAACCACCAAAATATTATGTTATGACAACCGGCAGATTTTGCTGTTTGTTATTTTTCAGACCACGCTTCTAACACTGGTTTACCAATAATTTAGAAAGCGTAATCAGAAACTGTAATGGAAGAATTC